AGGCGAAGTTTTTCACATTTTAAATACGTTATAGCTGCCAGAATCAAATTTCTAAGGCGGTACCTATCTCCAATTGCGTGATTGTGGTGAAGATTTACTTTTCATTTTCTTGAATGAGACATGGATATACCAGAACGGATCCATGGTGAAATTGTGGATCCATGATGATGACATCAAAGCTTGTCCTCCTAAAAAAACTAGTGAAGGGAAAAGATTCAAAATTTTACATGCGGGTTGCTCTTTGGGCTTTTAGAGGGATGCGATTTTCTCCTTGGTTCAAAAATAGATTCACCAGATTACCACAAAACCATCACATTTTCGATATTTGACCTTTACTTACTTACATGTCACATTTTTGATACCTACTTTCTGACATTCCAGTAATACATACATTATACACTAGAACAATTATGTCCGCAGTTACACAGCTTAAAAAAAAAAGTTACCAAATCTAGTTACATCTACCGAACGTGAATTCCTTATACAACAGAAAATCAAAAAAGCAAACAATCCTATCTTCAAACAAATGTAATTAACAAAAATCTGGCCTAAGACAGTTAAACAGATGCTAGTGATTTATTTCTGCTACAAGAGGGACCTGATACTAAGGAAATAAATGTTTCCTCTCCTAATGCATAGGCGTTTTTCTGACACTGACGTTGACTGACGTTTCTATACATTTAGCAAACTTTGATACAATTTAATTTTGGAACATTTTTTGTAATCCAGGTTCAGGTGGAATCGGTTTTTTGGGTTGCCTATTTTAAAAACATAAATAGGTCATCTTAGCTGAATAACCCTCTATGTATTTATCTTTACTTGTTTAAATGATATATCTTCTTCTTCAGATTACTTGGTCAGCTCTACTGTTTACACCAATGTTTAACTACGAGATATGGATCAAATCAAAATCCTCTACTTGATTTAATAATCTCTTCCGGCGATAACTCACTGGTCAACTTGGATAATTTAAGCCTTAAATAATCCTTACGTTACCTTAAAGATTAACTTACGGATTAGTTTTAAACCTTATATGAGGACCGCCTCAATTAGAAAGTCGTATATAAGCCTTAGGTCACAATCTAAAGGAACTTGGTTAGGAATCTAATAATCTATATTGTCCAAGCAAGTAGTCAGTGATAACGATAACTAACGTAGCGTATAAAGGTATTATTCATAATAAGTTTGCGGAATATACAAAGTGATATAAAGACTGTAACTATTAAAAAATGATTCGCAAAAAAACCGCTGGTGTTTTCGCTGATATATTCTCAAGCGTTTTCACGGAGGAATACTTTTTCTCTTTGTAACACTGACTTTCCCAAAAGTGTGGTTTATAAAAAGTTGTTAAAACTAAGGATGTTCAAGTCTCCAGCTTCTGATTGAATAACGGCTAATGTTTTGAGAAATTGTGTTGAAGTACGAGTGTCCCCATTAGTATGTATTCTAATACAGCAATCTTTTCAGACAGGTTCCTTAGCAGATGACTGGAAAACTGCAATTGTTCGTCCGATTTTTAAAAAGGGTGACAAATTTGATGCCTTAAATTACAAACCGGTCAGTCTAACGTCGATTGTGGTTAAAGTGATGGAATCTATCTATAATTTATAACTACATGTGTTAGGTCATCAAGTTATCCCATTCGAACACCATGGGTTTTTGCCCGGGAACTCGGTGCAGGCAAACCTCCTTTGTTGCTTGTCTGACTGGATAAAGGACTTAGAGTGCAGGTCCTCTTGATGGCATCTATCTCGATTTCTCCAGGGCGTTTGATAAGGTTCCAAAGCATCGTCTTCTTCATAACCTTTAACACGGTGGTATATGGGGAAATCTTCTTCAATGGTTTAATTCATTCTTTAGTAGACGAATTTTCGATGATCGTCTAACAAATGGGAACCTACGTTGTGTGTTTTTTTTTGAAAAGTGGCGGGAAGACTTTCTTTCATACAAGGCATACACTGCGTGTGAGTCGAGAAATAATAGACAAAAATTAGGGAGGGGCCGAAATGGCACCCTTCCTTAGGAGGAAAAGAAACGAAGAGCGAAAGTGACTCAGCTTGCCCTTTTGGTGGTTCCGCAGGGCCAAGGCGTCATTCACAGATATATTACACTTCAAACACCTTAAGATATATGAAAGAAAAACACTCGCGAATTGACAAACATACACATATAAAAACGAACAAACGCAAAATTCTAAACGTCTGTTTGGAGTCAATGCAAATATTTGAATATCAGAAATTTAATAAAAACAAAGCAAAATCTGAATTAAGTAACTGGATGCAAATACACAAGTTATTACGGGCGTGTGGCGGCAGATTTTTAAAGTTACGGCAGTTAACAGGAGCACAACAAGAGTACCCCTGGGCATTCTAGCATAACCGGAGTTTGGGGCTACTGGTCTGGGGCTGTTCTCCCCCCACGACGGTGATTCTATCTAGCACAAAGCCTACCCGCACGCATATCTCCATTACGAACGTGCCCTGCGAAATTAGGCCGCTACGATCGCAGATCCGTAGTTGGGTCTCGGCTAGCACGAAGCCGACAGCGTTAAAACACCGGCGATCGCCCCCTGACTCTATACATACCCGCGGACTTGTGCAAGAACTTCGCTTCGGCCACGTTTTCTGTGTTATTTAACCTCAATTCCATTTTTAAATGTTCAATCTTTTATAGCTCTAATATTAACAACAACTAAACAAGTGTTAAAGTTTCAACGAGCAATAAACAACATTTAAATTCGCCATACAATCTTGTGAAAATTTAAACAACAAATAATTCTTATGTGAGATTAAAAATGGGACATCAAATAATTTATACGATGGAAACATTCATCAACAAAACATTTACAAAACAGAACTTAGCAAAGATTTATGAAACAAAAGATCTAGTGTGAAATGAACTTGTGCAAATAAAAATATTATGTGGGGTTAAAACTGTAGAGCATGAAATTTATGTTCAATTAAAATTATACAACAAAGGAAAATTACTGAGGTTAAAATTGTGAGATTAAAGAAATATTGTATGAGGTGAAAATCTGCAGAGTTAACCAAATTTACATGAGATTAATAATTGCCACACTTTATCAACGATTCAAACAAAGAGTTTACATTATGTCAAATTATATCATGATCTAAGTGATTGGTTACTTCAAAAAATAATTTACTTTGAGAGTTTAAAATACCGCGAACTGGTTACCCCAATAAAACACATAATAAACAAACAAAAATATCCAATCATCGTTCCGAGGGAAAAAGCGTCTTGATGATGTAATTATGATAACGATGATAATAACGATGATAGCCGCCTAAGGGAAGAAGTCATTTTAAAACCCCCCGCGCCAGTTCGCAGTATAATGAACTTGTTTAACTGCCGTAAATGAACTATTAGCAATCTTGTGTGAAGAATTTAGAAGTGTTATAATGTAACACTTACGTATATGCATCCAGAAATCTATTCGTAATGAAACAACAAAGGTGTTTTTCCTGACTAAGTGAATTTCATGAAATCTTCTAGCACGTGGTTTATTTGAATAATCCTGATTGTTAAATTGTGTTTGCACTAGCTGACGATTAAGAAAACCTAACTTGATTGGTGAATTTTCAAACAATAAAACAAATTTACAGCACGCGTTTCGCGTTGAACGGAAGTCCGCAAATTTTCGATTAAAAGGCCGCAAGGATTAACCGCGCGGGTTGGGGACAACAGAGTGACGTCAGTTACGATTGATTGTCGTTAAACAAAGGCTTACTCCCATTTTATTAACTACCAAACCAACTAATTTAAACTAGCTCTTACCACGTGTTTACACTTTACAAGCACATGCAGACTGACGCTACGCCATGCCGTCCTTTGTCTTACCACTAACTCTCTAACTAAAAACCCCTAGCGCTAAATCGTCCGACTACCAAGCAAGCGTTTCCATGCACCAGGTTGCCTATGTTTAACGATTTTTTTTATGCATTTTTTTTCTCTTTCAAATTCAAATTATTCAAATGTGATTTCGCGCCGCTGTTAATTAATTTCAGCGTGAAAATTTTGATTTAAATTCGGTCACCACAAGGTTGAGAATGCGTTTAGCAAGAGAATTGATGAAGCGCCCAGTATTTGGCCCTTTACCTTTTATTGTCTATACAGCTGATCTAAAATATATACCCACATCATCGTTTGCTATGCACGCTGATGACGTCAAGATATATGACAAAAGCAGTAATTTCCAGAATTTAATGCAAGATGTTCATGTCATACATAATTAGTCCAAAGACTGATTGCTCCCGTTGAATTTGGACAAGTGACATATTGTATGGGCAATATTAAGTTGTCCAGTACATATTCGTATCTTGATTTAGGTGTTGTGATTAACAATGATTTATCGCGGTCAGAACACGTCGTACACGTCACGAAGAAGGCTAATAGAATGTAGTTTCTGCTAAACAAAATATTCGCTAAAGCAACTCCTGTGGCTCTTTCAAAATTATATAAAATTTTTGTGAGGCCTTTGTTTGAATTTGTTAATTGTGTTCTGTCTCCTGTACTTCTATGTCGTACTTCGATGTCTGGAATCGGTTCAGCGAAAGGCAGTCAGATATGGAAGAAACCAGTCATATGAAAGACTTGGTTACATTAATCTTTGTTCCCTTCCTGAGAGAGACGTTTAAGGAATATCAAGATCTACGTAATGCTAGTTGACGTTTCTCAATGACTAATATGCATTGAACTTAGTTTCTTCGTCTTTACATATCTTGCCGACGACTTGTCTCTATAGATGAATACTTAATTCTATAGATATTATAAGACTTACTAACCGACATTGTCTCACACTTCAACAAATTTTGTCGTCGTGTTTATCCACTTTTGTGAGTAAATAACAGTTTATGAAAAATATCCACCACAAAAAAAAAATCAAATTAATGTAGATATTTAGAAAACTACGGAGTTCTATAAACTGTGTAATCATCCGGTCATCTTCTGTGTAGTATTTTGTTTTAGTCGAAAAACTTTATTTATGCCAAATTATTTATTAAAAAAATGTCAGATATTTTTGCTATTTATACACATTCATACTTGCAGGCTCGTAGTAGCTCTGTAAATCCCCGTATCATAAACAGATGTGTTAATTTAGGTAGATTTATAAAAATATTTTTACAGTAAATAACATTCAATTACAGCAAGAACCGAGGCTACTGTTGCTGACATCTCGTACTTCGAACCACCATGGTTTCGCGTAACATCAGAACAGCCGGATATACCCTCCGAAAATGCGGACGTTACAAGACGACCACTGGCTTTTGGGTCATGGGCTTTGCCCAAATTGGTATATTGTAAAATGATTAAACTGTTTGTTAGTCTTATTATAAATTATAGAGACGGGAATTACACGATTCAGATGACTTCGTCGTAATACAAGCACTCTTGAGCTTGTGCGATTTAATACACGACCCTGAACGGGCATACGAAGCTCTTCAGCTAAAAATACCAGACAGGTTGCAGACATTAAATCTACTAACCAAATTAAATAAGGGCTTGATCTTAGGTTGGCAGATAAACTTCTTGATCCGTTACCTCCAGTTCGTGAGTCGTCTGTTCTTCTATTGAGTCTTTTCGCACGCTTAGCGGACGGAAAGGAAGCAATCGTGAAAAATAAAGAAATTTTGGAAAACCTATATTTAACCTTAGGCGATGAGCAAATATCAATCCGACTGAAAAGTGCAGCATGCATTGAACTAGTATCAAGAAGCTGGATGGGTACCTATCCATTCTAGCAATTTCTTTCTTTTGTCTTTAACTTAATTTTAAGCCGCTGATGTTCTGGTAGAAACAGGGTTAATAGAAACACTTCTTGAACTTATTGAGAAAGATGAGCCATCAGACATTCTGGAATATCACTTAAAATCGCTAAAATGCCTTATGTATGAATGTGGAAAGTGCATAGCCTTAAAACACGACGGTTTCAAAATTTTTGTAAGTACACTTTCTCGAAGCATGATCTATTTTTAAAGTTTATTGAAGATGAAATTGCTGAACCACGAAAAATCGTCAATTGTTTGTAAAGCGTTGGATTGTTTGGCGATACTTACGTCTACTAAGAAAGGCAAAAAGCTCGCAATTGAGAAGAATTTATTGAAAACGTTAACCAAATTAATACATTATGGAGTAAAATTTCAGTAAACAATTTTTGCTTAGTACAAAAAACTGGTTTACAGGATACTGATATGTGTAAAAGCGCCGCGTCTGTTATCATGTTTTGTACTGTGAAAACTAGAGCTAAAATTTTGGCAGCGGAAATAAAAAGTCTCGCCAAACGTTTAATCAGGCTGTCGACGAATCCTTTAAATGTGGCTCTACAGATGTTTAGCATAAAGGTAATAACAACGTATTTTATTTTTTTATATGTATTGAATTGTTTAGGCTTTAACAAATATTTGTGAGCATCCTTTGGTCCGGAAGGAAGTATATGATCGTTATTTGAACGAACTGACACAAATGCAAGTGGATCCTACTAACGCAGAGTACAAAAAGACACTCTTACAAATAGTTAGTTGGGTTCCATATAAATCTGAATAAATTATTGTTCTCTACAAAGAAAATACAAATAAATTACTGTTGACAGTAGCCTATTGCTTATTGCTTGTCTCTATTCTACAATATTCCTTTATGTTTGAAAACATCATTACTTTATGCTCAGTGTTATATTGTACATACTGCAATTCAGTGGCGGCTCGTGAAGTTTTCTTCAGAGGAGGCTCAAATTTGAAAAGCACTACTTTTTATATCTTTCATTATCTGAATAATTTTTTTTTCATGGCCACGAAAAGAACACTCCTGCGTTGATAGATAAACTATTGCATCGATTAGTCTTTTCAAAACTGCCCTATTTTTACCAACTTTCTCGTTATAGTTTTCAATATCCCTCTTATGAGCGGAATCTAAAGTAGTAGAAGAAAATATATGTGTTCCTGTGATTTTTCATGTCTTTCTATTGCTCATGACAAATTTTGTAAATTATTATAGCCTGTTTTATTCCAAACGGAAAATTGATCACTTGTGAATAATACACAATTCCAGCAGTATAATTTGTTTCTTAAAAAAGCGAAGCCGTTAACCATTAGTTTTATTATAATTATTTTCATGAAATGCTCTGTTTTGCTTTTTACCTGTCATTAATAATGGGAGTGGTGGTGTTGGTCTCCCCTTTGGTTTTATAGCGATCATTTTATTACAATCAAAGCTACTAAATTCATTTTTTAATAGATAATTTACGTATCTGCACATGAGACTGAATTATTTTCGTTGCTCATTCTCGTTAAGTATAAGTAATATTAATATGCCGATAATACCAGCTGTTTTTAACGATCAGAAATAAAACGCAAATAAATGATACAAAAAACACCTTAGACTTTACGTAGCTACTAAAGCCTAAACACCACTCACCACTGAATAGGGAGCACGCGAAACCACCTCAATGTTTTTCCAATTTACACCCGATCGCTCCAATTAATAAGAAAGAGATAAAATTATCCGTGCGACTTGATCTGAAAAGAGATGAACTAGCCGGAGGCTAGCGGCCTGAAGCGGCACCCTGATCAACGTTTTAGCCAATCCAATGCCGAATGACGATGCGTCAAGGTTGCGGTCTCAATAGTAAGATGCATTCTCGGCGGAGGCTAGCCTTTATCGCTGAAGCCAAACGCGGAGTGGTGTGAATTATGATTGTAAGGGCGCAAATATAATTTTTTTCGACATTTTAACCTGATATCTGATGAAAGTAAATTAAATCAAACAAAATATTCTGAAAAGTAACAAATGTCTACAAAAATACAAATTCTTTCATCGAAAAAATTAGAGGAAGCTCAGCTCCAAAAAACAGAGGAGGCTCAGCCTCCCCTGCCTCCTCTGAGGAGCCGCCACTGCTGCAATTCCTTCCAAAAATTCGGTAGTCATCCCAAAAATCAGCTCTTTATAAATGAGTTTCATTTGCGACACACCAGGTGCCTCCCAACCTCGCAATTATTATTGTAGAAATAATACAGCTTTCAACTTAGTCAAATATTTCTGTAATAGCATCGTTCTTCGTGGCGTTTTTCTCAAAATATCATTTTAACTGTCCGAACGATAAGCAGGATCTTTTTAAAAGATATGACATTTTATGTTTTCACGGATTTTTAGCGTTCGTAGAATACCTCCACATATGACTTGTTTACTCAGCAAATAATTAAATAACAATAACTTTTTTCCAAATTTTCAATCCTTTCTTATATCTTTGATTTCATTATTAATTATTATTTTTCGTAAAAATTCTAGAATGTAATAACTTGTAAATGTCCTTGCAGAAGAACAGTTTTATTCATAGTAATTATAACCAGTTGAAGCGATGAAATACCTTATCATTTTTTATCAACCTTGACTTTAAAAGCCGGTTAATAAATTATATGCCACATTTTTGCTTTGTTCCAAAGTGGTGCTTAAAAAAAGCAGATCTGTGTAGTTGTTTACACAAAACTGTCCTCACCTTTCAAGCACAACAAAAACCCGATGACTATCAAGGCTTATTTTAACTAAAGATTTATTTTATACCTTTCTAATAAGAAATCAATAAAAAAATATTTTTTCTTAATTCCTAAATCAGTGATATGTAATTTATGAGATAAGCGTAAAATTTGACAATCCCAACTTATCTTTTTTTTCGGTATTCTGCACATAGAAAATTAAAAATAACTGTCGTCTGTACTTAATTGAAGGATGATAATCTTCGCACGTACTGCATCTGTTCTTTTAAAATTTCAAAGGTGCGTATGTCGTATGGTTACAGTAAAGGCTCTAAAACGCTAACCAAAATTTGTTACTCATCCTCTTCATAAATTGCAAAATGTTATACAATTTTGATTGTTTTTCCAAAAATTTGGATGGCCAGGATGAAAATTCAACACTGATTCATACACAGGTGCAGGAGTATCATATTTTATAAAATTAAAAAGAAATTTGCTACAGTAAATTTTGGAGTTGACGTCATTTCATTGATAGTGGGGATGATTAGCCAAATTTTAGTTAGAGTTTTACCGTCTACATGACAGTCCTAATATATACCTACATACAAATTTGACAACAATCGGTCCGGCAGTTTCCGAAATTATCTGCCTAATAAAAATGGATACAGACGACCGACAGTCGGACGGACAGACAGACAGACGGAAACAGAAGACCATTTTTTTCGTACTCTAAGGGCATTAAACGTCGAGAAAACATGAAAGTAGCAAGTCGTTCGATGGACTCGATTAGCTTAAGTTCAGGAAGTAGAAATATTTTTGAAAATTTATATTTTGCTAGTGGCTGTAATTTTCAATACGACAGTGATTGTTCAACAATGTCCAAAAACGAGTTAAGATTATTATGTAAAAATACAAATCTTGTGTAATTTTAGGATAACGTAGACTTAATGAGGTTTTCAATAAGTTCAGTAAACCCTGACTTATCATAAGAAACTGATAGATACCTACCTACTGATAATGTTACGAAACATAAAGTTGATGTAATTTGTAAAATCAACAATGAACCAAAAAACAAGTCAATATTTACCAACGAAATAAACGTGAGTACAGTGAGTACAGCTTTGGCAAAAACATCAGCATCCCCAAATCTTCATTGCAATTACACAAGCTGGACACTAAAAATATGTCAACAAATAATGTTAATGGTCTATTATCCAGTAAATTTACAGTGAAACTCGACAAGATAGAGACGAAAAGACAGACGGTAACTCACTGCTGCAAATCGTAAAAAAAAAGAAAACCATTGCTGGTACTTTTCAGATTAGCATCGATGAGAATTTTGTAGCAGACTCTAAAACAAAGAAAGCATGGTTCTATCTAGGAAATATCAAATCAAGCATAACCGATGATGAAATTATAAATTACCACCGTTATATTAAATACAGATATCCTGAAGCATCACTAAATAATTATTGTGGAGCAATGAGCAACAAAAGGAGTGCTTTTTTCATATAAGGTAGAAATAGATTCCTACTCCAAAGACGTTTGGCCATCTCAATTTTCTGAAGAATAGAAACATGGTTCCGGAAAAAATTTCTAACGAAATCATAAGAATCGAGGGATATAATGTAAAACGCAGAGGTAGAAAAATAGAAACATGCCCCAGTAAAACAAAAGATGCTGGTCACATCTTTTACTAAAAAAACAACTCTGAAGTTTGAATAACTACAAAACGATGGTATAAACTCTGTAGATACTCTTTGGTGCAAGATAAGAATTCATCACTAGGACTGGAAATAAGTATAGAAACCTCTGCAGTTCATACCGGACTCTCGTTTTTTAATCGTAGAACAACAACTTGCAATGCTCAACACTAAGACTAATTTGACTTTAATATTGGTCTTTTAAAAAACATCGATGCACAAGACACTCATTTTTTGAAACCTTACGGAATGTTATAATTTACAAGCCGCAGTAAATAAGGCAACTAAATTTATTTCAAATTCGACTCTACTTTATTAGTTCACATTTCTTTATACAATAATCTGAAGGAAATTGTCCATAGAACAGCTCAACCAGATAGTTAATGCAGCAGGTCAGCGAGTCAGTGATCATGATCTAATATGTCTGGGTACCTATAAAGAAAAATGTAAATGTAATGAATATAAAAAGGACAATTCGGAAATTTAAGAATGTCAGTACTGATAGTCTGAAAAAAATCTTTAAAATACATATTTCAGCAGGTATATGAAATTTCTGATTATGAATATATTCATGATTAATTATTGAGTTAATTTGTGAAATGTGTTTCCGAGATATTCAGTAGACACGATGGTCCCATAATCAGTGTTTAATAAAAAACACAAACCTGAGTGGTCCACTTATAATATACAACAGGCAATATGTAGAAACTCAAAATCGTGCCTATAATAACTGTAATACGAAGAGTAAATCGTAAATCCTTAGCGAAATGGAGGTAAATGCAAGGTCGTAACCAGGGTTGGGCACTATTTGAACTACTTGTAATTGAAATACAGTATTTGAAATACAATTGTATTTTGTAATTTGTATTTCAAATACATGACACAAATGTATTTTGTATTTTGTATTTCAAATACATTTTAACTTGTATTTTTGTATTTTCAATTACTTAAAATACATTTTATCCATATATCTAATAGTACTATATTGCTAACTGGCCTCAAAGGATTCCGAAAACATAACGGCAGAGCAATATATCGGACCTCTCTGTCTCTTTGTGGTACTGCGCATGCACTCGTACTTGGTTGATTTGTAGTGGATAGCGTGACTGGATGCGTTTTGACATTTCGTACTTTCGCTTCTATTTTGTGTACATGCGCACAGACCCTCGGTACTCTTATAGACAGAAAACAACATCTTCTCTCTCTCTGTGTCCGTGAACACCGTTTCTATGTTATTTCTGAAGAGTTAGCAATATAGTACTATTAGATATATGATTTTATCAAACTACGGCGCGCTCATTACAACAGTTTTGCGATCGTGTTAATTCGTGTATGTTCGTGTACTTCGAGAAGTAACAGGATATTCTACGGTTGTAACAGAGAACATA